CATCGCCTCTCCCTGCGGAGTGCCGCGATCCCCAGCGGGAACAGTCCCCGGACCGCGACAGGGAGCGCTTGTCACATTTGTAGCTGGGCACAAGCCCTTTCCTGCGGCCACAAGCCGGGAAGTAGGGACGAGCTGCTGGCCTTGGCACCCCCTGACCCCAGTGGTGGGAATCCGGCAGGACATTTGTCCGCCTCATGGGTGACAACTCGTCTCTGCTCTTTCATCCGCAGCCCCAAGGGCTTCCCCAAGCTGAAGAACGACACGTTCCTGCGAGCAGCGCGTGGGGAGGAGACAGAGCACACGCCGGTGTGGTGCATGCGGCAGGCAGGGCGCTATCTGCCCGGTGAGCAGGTGGAGGCGTGCGGTGGGATAGTGAGGGAGGGCACGGCACGCACCCCGTCACGCTCATGACGGTCCCTTGCAGAGTTTCGGGAGACCCGGGCAGCGCAGGATTTCTTTGCCACTTGCCGGAGCCCCAAGTTGTGCTGTGAACTGACACTGCAGGTGAGTGTCTTCCGGGAGACTGTGTGATCCCTCTCTCCGCCCAAATAAGGATGGGGAGAAACCTTGGGTCTGGCCACCCTGGTGACCCTAGCACTAGTTGTACAGCCCTCGGGGACCCCACTGCCCCATGTGTTTGTCCAGATCCTCCATGGAGAAGGGGTCCCAGCCCCTCACTGACACTAGTTCTTCCCCTGCACAGCCGCTCAGACGATTCCCCCTGGATGCTGCCATCATCTTCTCCGACATCTTGGTCGTGCCTCAGGTGAGAGCCATGGCCAGTGGTGGGGAGCAGTGACTGGGAATGGGGCTGGGTCCAGGGCTGACCCATTTCTGCTTCTTCTGTTCTCTCCCATCACCAGGCGCTGGGCATGGAGGTTGTTATGGTCCCTGGCAAAGGACCCATGTTCACAGAGCCCCTGAAGGAGGTGGAAGATCTGCTGAAACTGCGACAGAAGGTGGATGTGACCGCGGAGCTGGGTTACGTCTTCCAGGCCATCACGCTGACACGACACAGCCTGGAGGGCAGGGTGCCCCTCATCGGCTTCTCCGGCGCGCCTGTAAGTGATGTGGTTCCTCCGTGTGGGCTTCCCAGCTGGGTTTCTCTGCTCTTTCCTTTGGGGTGATGCCAGCCATGACACTACAAGACATTTAATGCAGGAGCAGCTGTGCCCCAGGCTCTGGGGTGCTCACAGGCGCTACCTTCAGCACTGTGACCGGCCCCTTGTGTCTTTTTCCATCTCCTTCACCCTCCTCACTCCACTCCTGTCCTTCTTCCAGTGGACGCTCATGTCCTACATGATTGAAGGCAGTGGCTCCACTACAATGGCCAAGGCCAAGAGCTGGCTCTACCGTCACCCTGAGGCAAGCCACCGACTGCTGCGGCTGCTGGCTGATGTTGTCACTGACTACCTGGTGGGGCAGGTGGCTGCTGGAGCACAGGTGTGTCCTGGGACATGAGACGGGTCCAGGCAGGAGGGCAGGGACTGGGGACAGCGCACAGGGGGGGTCTGGCCTCTGGGAGGAGGAGGAGGGATCAAGGCACAGATCTCCCAGCCCCATGTTCCCGGCAGGCACTCCAGCTGTTTGAGTCCCATGCGGGGCACCTGGGGCCAGAGCAGTTTCAGGACTTCGCCCTGCCTTACATCCGAGACATCGCCCAGGCCGTCAAGAGCAAGCTGAAGGAGGAGGCGCTGCCTCTGGTACCCATGGTGAGTCAGGGCTGCCTGGGTTGACCCTGCTACCTGGGGGCTGCTGGAGAGGGGTGTATCCCCTGGTACATGCCTCCCCCTGTCTAGCCTGCAGAGAGGGACCCGACCCATAGCAGAGTTACTGCCCATCTTCTCTCTCTCCAGATCATCTTTGCGAAGGACGCACACTACGCGCTACGTGACCTGGCCCACGCTGGCTATGAGGTGGTTGGTCTCGATTGGACCATCCAGCCCCAGGAAGCTCGGTAAGAGTCTGGCACAGTGCTCAGATGCTTGGGCAGCACCCCACGCTGGGTACCCTGACCCTTTCCTCTATCATAAGCCATCCCCAGGCGTGGAGATTTCTGCTCCAGAGGTGGGGATAGTTGGGCCCCCATGCTATGTGGAGCTCACAGCAGCCAGGGGCTGCACTGAGGGGTCCCACGTGCCCTGTGGTGGGGGCTGGAAGCACCCAGCTGCCCCTGGACTCTGCATCATACAAAACAACTCACCTGCTTCCTCTGTGCTGCAGCACACAGACCGGGAAAGACGTCACCCTGCAAGGGAACCTGGATCCCTGCGCTCTCTATGCACCCAAGGTGAGCTGTGGCCATCACCAGCAACAGGGGCTAGTTCCAGCCTGTGTTAAGGGCCTCCTGCCTCAGTTTCCCCATAGCAAAATGCCAGCTTATGTCCCAGCAGTCCCCCAGGCTGGCTGGGAATGGATGAGGGTGGAGTACCCTGGGCTGGCTGGGAATGACGCATGGTTTCCTACTGTGCCTACAGGAGAAGATTGGCGAGCTGGTGAAGAAGATGCTGGAGGGTTTCGGGACCCAGCGCTACATCGCGAACCTGGGCCACGGCCTCTACCCTGACATGAGCCCGGAGCACGTGGGGGCCTTCGTGGAGGCTGTGCACGCTCACTCCCGACACATCAACAAGCACAGCTGAGCCTGAAGGCTTGGGAACAGGACTCCGGTTTGGGCACAGTCACTGCAAGTAGCGTGTTGTCACAGGGCTCGCTCCAGGCTGGGCTGCAGCATTAAACCAGCACCTTCTCCACTGCAGCCGCGTGGCTCTGGCTGGGGTGACGGGGAACTGGCCAGCTCTGGAGTAGAGAGGCAGTGCTTGCAGCCTGGCAGTTGGGCATGTGAGGTCAGGGGGAGCCGGTGAGCTCTGTCCTGCAGGACAGGATGGGGCAATGGGGATGCCTCTCTCTGCCAGGCTGCAGTGTGTTGTGCCAAGGGCTTGTGAGCTGAGAGCACAAGGGGCGTCTCCTGGCACTACAGATGTGCTCGGCCCTGCTGGGGAGATGGGCTGCCTGAAGCTGGCAGGGTCACAGCCTGGGTGCTGGGGGCTCACATCCTACCCATGCTCAGTGTGAGCAGTGCCACAGCCCTGCTCAGGTGGAAAGGTGCAGCATGACATGGACCCAGGACATCCTCGAGTGGGTGGGAGACCCAACAGAACTCCATCTGGGGGACAGCTGGCCACAGGGCAGTAGCCCTCCAGGCACAAGCTGCAGCAGCACTCTTGCCACACTAGCTGGGATGGTGGCAGAGACAGCATGGTCCCAGCACCGCCATCACCCTCCTCCAGCTCCCAGAGCCTCTTTGGGACCATCCCACTGGTCCTAGAGATCTCTCCCTCATGCACACCTCCTCATCTCCTCAGACCCTCAGGGGTCAAGGCTGCCTGGGGCTCAGCAAACCCTGCAGAAAGCAGTCCAAGGTGCCAACAGCACCCAGGAATCCTGGGCTGCATTACTACCTGATCCTGCACCACAGCATACTCACTGCAGTCCAGGCTGGCTGTAGGATGGATCAAGACACGGGTGCTGCTTGCTCTAACACTGCTCCAGCCAGCACAGACAGGGCAGTGCCACTAGGCTGATGACCTTTGGTGTGGCAAGGAGTCACACCCTGAATGAGCCAGGGTGCCTTGTGGCTGCTCCATCCCTGTCTCTGGGATGTAGGAGCTGGGTACAATAGGGGTCTGCAATGCCACCTCCTCCCAGGCTGCCCAGCAACTGCAGTGACCCCTCTGGCTTCAGAGAAAGGCAGCAGAGATACAGGCAGTAACGTTCATCCCTTTTATTATTAAACATCAGATGAAGAGGTCGCACACACACATACACGCACGCACGCAAAAAAGAAAACAAACAAAAAAAAAAAGGAAGGAAAAAAGAAACAGACTGGTTGAAGACTGCTATTTCGGTGGCGACAGAGACCGAGTACAATTGGTTTCCTGGCCGGAGTGCGGACACAAGTCACTTTCCAAAAAATTAAAAAGTCAAACCAGACAGCAGATAACTAGCCCACATTCTCTAACTACAAGTCACCGACCAGACCGGCCCCGGCCCCCCCCCAACCCAACACCAAACACACACCAGCCACTGGCCCAGGGCCAGAGAGTCTGCTGCTGGTGTGGGGCAAAGCCGGGAAAGGCTGAGCGTCGGCTGCACCATGGAGCCGGGAAGCAGAACGGCA